TTTTTGTTTTTATTAATAGGCTGGGTTTTTGAATTACTCTGTACTCAAACATTTAGTTTTCTCTCAATCCAAGTTTGTATGACTAACTTTTTTACGTTTCTTTGCAGGAATTGACAAAATTGTCACGGAAGTTTGGGGAGAATGTCTTAGATGCCACAAAGAAGTTTGAAAAATTAGTAACTGACAAGAAAGAAATTGAGGGGTTGCCAGCTACAGCTCTTGGTTTGGCTGCCCAGACAGCAGTGTCTAAAGTAATGTCCCTTCTAGCATTTCCATTGTTCTTGTTTATGGTACATGCTATATGATTTTTCATTGCTTGATTGTTTCCTTAACATCTATGCAACTGCTTATAGGGACATGAAAATGCTACTGCAGAAAGTGGGCCATGGATTATTACATTAGATGCACCAAGTTATATGGCTGTAATGCAACATGCAAAAAACCGTGTGCTACGGGAAGAGCTGTACCGTGCCTACCTAACTCGTGCTTCAAGTGGAGATCTTGATAACACAAAAATTATTGACCAAATTTTAAAGCGTAGGTTGGAAAAAGCTAAGCTTCTAGGGTACAAGAGCTATGCGGAGGTATGATCTTTCCTCATTTTTATATGTACTTCTCCTTCACGTGGCTTGATTAGTGACTATTCTTATACTTTGGTATAATAGTTAAGCATGGCTAGCAAAATGGCTACTGTTGATAAAGCAGAAGAGCTACTTGAAAAACTTCGTAGTGCTTCCTGGGATCATGCAGTTCAAGGTAGCTCCACGTAGTAATTTTTTCTTCAATTGTATTATCGTTAACATTATACTCTATCTTTCCTTATACTCCCTCCGTCCTTAAAGACCCTTCCTGTATTGATTTTTAAGGTGCGCCTAAAATCTCTATTTCTGCTAATATTTCACGTGTTTCTATTTGATTTTTAAGGGATTTAAGGGGAGTGTATTTTGTTGTTAACTGTCCAAAAATGCCTTTGGACGTGATGGGTAAAAGTAGAATGTGATGGGTAGATTAATAGTGGATAGATATGATGTGATAGGTAGAGTAAGAATTAGTAGGGGTAGAAGTGATTTTTTAATTGAAAGTGGAAATTTTTTTTGGGACAGATGAAAAGTGAAAGAAGAAAGATTTTTAGGGACGAATGGTGTAATAATTCTTTTGGTCTAGATTAACATGTATGTTTGATGTAAATCTGTAAATAATATTTCAAATATATTGTACAATACTATCTCCGTCCCAAATTAAACTTCTTATTTGCTTTTTCATTGAGTTTAAGAAAAATTGAAATTGTGTGGTTGAGATATATGCATAGGAGAGAGAAATAAAGTGAGATTTATGCTTATTTAAAAGGAATGTGAAGTTTATTTGTGATGACCCAAAATAGAAAGTGGGAAATTTATGATGGGACGGAAATAGTTTCTTCTAGATGTCAAGCCAGATTCAGTTGAAGCACAAAAATTGTTTTTTCATTGGGATATCCTTATAGATTGATACAATAACAACAACTAGGTCCTAATTTCAAATCAATAGGATTGACCACAACAACAACCCTATAGAATCCCACAAGTGTAGAATCCCACAAGAGTAGGGGTTGCTGGGGGTGTGTGTACGTGGACCTTACCCCTACTTAAAAGTGGAGGGGCTGTTTCCAAGAGACTGGCCACATAACCAAAATATAATCTTCCTATTCCCGATATCATCCACCAATATCTTTATTTTCCATTCTGTTGTCAAGCGCCATGTGCTAATTAATCCTTGTAGATTAGTGTCATTTTAAAGTTACTTTACATAATACGCTGTCAAGTTCTTTTTTTGTAAGTTTGCCACCTTATTATTTATTTACGTATTTAATTTTTTATCTGCGGTTAAGTGATATTTGGCTCTTAATTCAGATATGGAAGACCTCAAAGACTTTTGTAAAAGTCAAGGTGCTCCAGAAGCTAAAGATTTGAACCATTGGGATATTGGTTTTTGGAGTGAGAGGCTTCGTGAATCCAAGTATGAATTAAATGAGGTCTGATCTTCTCTATCTATATGATTTAAAACATGGGTTATTCTTTTTAAACAAATACTGGCGTTCACATCCACTTTTTTCCCTTTCACATATAAGATAACAAAATGGAAAATGAAAAACAAGAGTTGGACATGAGTGAGAAAAGCTAAATTAGTTACATTGAATCCAATGTGGTAGGTAGTCTTTCATTCTAATGCAAAGGTAAAGGATGAACTTTGACAAGTCAAAACTCACAAGAGAACATTTTTTTTAAAGTAGGGGAGCTAATTTTTTGCCATTGTGATTCTGAAGGAGTTATATTGTGCTTTGTATTAATAAGATTATGTGATACGGCGGGTGATGCCATAAATGCATGCCGTAAGTGCAAAACACAATTCTAAAATATATTAAGTAGGAGATCAGTTGCAACACTAGTGTAACAACACTCCCACTTTTAAGCTCACATGTTATCAAAATATAATTACAAGAAACTGAAAGTGTTTGGAAAGTCTGGCAAAAGAAACTAATAAATGCATGTATTCCTTGGTCATTTCCAAAGAGAGTGCTAAAATTAAAAACATCACTCTATTAGGGGACTCAAGCATGGAAATTACTTTCTAAATAAATTCCAATTATTATTGTAAATGAACACAGAATATGTAATGTACTCCCTCCGTCCCACTTGAAACTTCTCAGTTTGACTTGGCACGGTTTTTAATGTAATGCTAAAATTGCTTTGACTTTCCACATTTGCCCTTTTGTTTTTATCCTTCCAACCCCACATCACCCCTGCAAAGTTTCAATCTCAAACCCACCCACCCACCCCTGCAAATCCACCGGCTCCATTCTTGCCATCTCCGTTTTTGAAGAGATTGGGCTCAAAATCAATAGCTATTGAAATTGAAAAAAAAATTAAGAGATAAGGTAAGATCTATTTTTAATCCGCCATGGTCGTTGGGACTGTCATCACCTCATCGCCCGAAAGCTTTTCCGTTACCGCTGCCACCTGATCGTGAAAGCTTTGTCCGAGGAAGAAGGTGAATGGGAGCCAGATCTGTAGGTTTTCTAGCTAGATCTTGCTAAAAAAGGAAATTAAAACCATTTCACAGTGAAAAGACAGACTGGATTTAGTGCCCGGATGATGGAGGAACGAACTTCTATATCAGAATCCTTTGAGCCGCTACATGTGGCCGACGCCGGCGAAGAAAAAGAGGGGGGGTGATGTTGAAGATGTGCGGTGGGGGTGGTTGAAGAAGAAGGAAAGAAAAACTGAAAAAGAAAAGAAAAAGAAAAGAAGAAAAAGGGGAATGGTGGGGTGGGTTGGTCTGATCGAGAACAAAGAAAAGAGGACAGAAGAGTTGTGGAGGAGAGAAAAAGAATAAAGGAAGAAAGGGTAAATTAGTAACTTTAAATAAATTTTAATTCCATTTAGGAAACGGGAAGAATCAAGTGGGACGGCTTAAATAGGAAAGTGAGAAGAAAGATATGGGACGGAGGGAGTACTAATTTGAAAAAGTGAAATTGACCAATACACTAGATCTGAATTATTTGAAGAGGTGAATAATTAATTCTCATAGTCAAGAGCCTTTTAAAATTCCACAAGCATATCCTATTTCTAGGCTTTGTGTTGTGTGGTTGTGTTGTTGGGTAAATTAATTATCAACTCATAGACAAGAAAAGTATTAGTGAATTTAATCAAACTCACAATTCAGTCCATTCAAAGGTGGCATGACCATATTATATTACGAAATGAGCAGTGAATTTAATCAAACAACGTAAATAAAGTTTGACCGTGTGAATAGTGTACGGGAAGAACCAACTTGGATGGAGGGAGTAAGAGAAAAGAGTCAAAAGACCCAAGAGAACACGCCATGAACCACCATAATCCCCAAATCCGAACCCATTGGTGAGAAATTAGCCTAGCATGTTTGTGGAATCAACAAAAACAATGAGCAACAGACAAATGATATTTACTAACAAGAATTTAACAAGAAATCCCGAATTTAAGAAGTAAGATTAAATGTTGAACAATAATGTCAAACACACTCTAAATCTCAAGAAAAATGAAGAACATGGGTAAAATAAAGTTCTAGAATAGTAGAATCTAAAATATAAATACCTTAAATCTTGAATCTTGACGAAAATAGAGAGTGGAAATCTCTGATAGGAAGTTTGGTTCGTGCACTGCTGTTCGACCATTGTAAGAAATAAGAAATTTGAACCAGTCTGTGCAGTTTTAGGGTTAGGCATCACTTTTATAGAAGGAGAGGATTCAAGAGGATGCTGGCAGAAGACGACCGTTCTTCATGTTTTTTTTTCATTCTGCAAAGATGGTCAGAATATGCCTGGAAGACGACCATCTTGCAACCACCGTTTTCTGCATTACCCATATTTGTGATTTTATACTTTCACTCAAAATTGAGGACAATCATTGCAAGATGGATTCGCTGTCTTCTATACTGTAGCTTTCTCCGGCTTTTCTAAATTGTACTCAGAACATATGATTGGCAGCGTTCACCATGGAAGACGGCCGTTTTCCTGATACTTCTTAGCTCCTTCAGTACTTAATAAAACATTGGGTGTTCTCTTAATGGTTCAGCTAGTACATTGGATGGTCATCTAATGTACCGAAGATGGCTGTTTTTGGGACACCATCTTCGGATCTGTCCTCTGTTTGCTCCTTGTTCAGCTTGACGAGTGTTTGTTTCTTCCAATAGTCAATCCTTGCTCTTTCGAGTAATCAAAACGCTCTTAAAAAGCCAAGATCCAAGAATCCTCATTTTAATTTCCCAAGTGACTTTTACTGTAGTGAATGCCCAAGGACCCAAAAACTGCCGAAAGGCACTGGTAAAAGCCTAGGTTTACGTCTACCCATAAAAACTAGCAAGGACACTTAAGATAAAAAGCTGAAGGAATGGAACATGTCTATCACTGTCCCACTTGACCATTACTCCTTTTGAAATGTCAGTGCTTGGAGCGGTGGGAGCGGTGCAAGTGCATTTGTGCAACTGCTCCCAATTGGAGAGTATGCAAACTCTTCGTTGAATAATTTAAACCTTTGTGGCTTGTTTTTTGGTGTAAAAAACTCTATCAACTACTTCAACTTGATGTGAACTAGATCCGCTTATATCTAGTACTAACCAGTAATTGTGGAAGCTTTCTATGTACTAAAATAAGTGTGAATGTTTGTGGGTTTGCATCTAAGCTTGACAAATATATTGTATGCATTTTATGCTCTTTTTTTTATGCGGTGCACTTTTTTCCCTTCAAATTTTACTGTACATGCTGATTTGAAGTAACTAACCATTAATAAATTTTATAGGAAGAATTGCGCCCATATTTTCCACTACCAAGGGTCATGGATGGTCTTTTTAAGCTTGCAAATAAGCTTTTTGGTATATATGCTGAACCTGCTGATGGTTTAGCTCCGGTAAAAATTTCAGTTGCCTGTCAAACATAAATTTAAGAAGTGCGACTGATATCTTTACTAATAACAATGCTATTAATTAGGTATGGGACAAGGATGTCCGCTTCTACCGTGTGAATGATTCCTCAGGCAGTCCCATAGCATATTTTTACTTCGATCCATACTCACGTCCATCTGAAAAGCGTGATGGTGCATGGATGGATGAAGTTGTTGGTCGAAGCCGTGTATTGTCTGTAGATGGTGCTTCTGTAAGGTTGCCTGTTGCCCATATGGTTTGCAATCAAATGCCACCTGTGGGAGAAAAACCCAGCCTGATGACATTCCGTGAAGTAAGCATGCACTTGATCATTATGCTACCCACAAAATAAGAGTGAACATACTGGTAGGGACATATAACAGAATATAACTATATAAGACACCATCTAAAGGTGAAGTGGCAAGGGACACTAGATGCTGGCATGCTGGGGCTTTCTTACCTTGCAGAGGAATGTATTATTATGCATTTATGTGTTTAGGACTGTATAGAGAACACATGTTAAAAAAAGTACAGACGAGCTGGGCTAGACCCATATTAATTTGGGAAACACTTCGAGCTAGGTTTTTGATACATATTCAGTCTAATTTGGAATCTATTCTATGCATTGTTATTCTTTTTTGGATTTAATGTAGGTTGAGACAGTCTTCCATGAGTTCGGCCATGCCCTTCAGCACATGTTGACTAGGGAGAATGAAGGTATGGTTGCTGGTATTCGGGGCATAGAGTGGGATGCTGTAGAATTGCCATCACAATTTATGGAAAATTGGTGTTATCACAGGTATTTGGAACCTTTATTGTCTTTATGTCTAACAAGTATGAAAAGCCTTGGTTAATTGCTATTGTTTAATATGCAGCAAAGCTATTTATTTTTTGGAATTATGTGCATTTGTTTTGCCTCTCTCTCTCTCTCTCTCTCTCTCTCTCTCTCTCTATCCCCTCCCCCTTTCTCGGGAGAGATGGAAGTTTTGGGTTTAAACTTTATATCAACTAAATTCTTACCGTTGGTGTTGAAAAAGAAACTGATACTCTCTTCTTCCCACAAAGGTAGTCCACTATCTTTTTGCACTCAATTAAGAAATAAAGAATGATACTAGTTAGTTAGAACAGTTAATCATATTTGTACATGTCATCATGCCATTGTAAATGTGGATGATTAAGTAGGGTTCAACTTGGAAATGAAAATTGAAATGCCACCTAAATACCTAATAAGAACACTGGACAATCTTTGTGGGATGGCCAAAAATGGAATAGTGGACTATCTTTGTGGGGGAGTGAGCATGTTTTGTACTTCTATGATTTATGGCAGTTCTTCATTTAAAGGAACCAAAACAGTGTATGTTAATAAGGCCCATGACAGAGTGACAGACCTACTTCAGAAGGGTAACACCGAACTACCCTTTATGCTGCAAACATTATAAAGAATCATATAAGCTGTGCGCCTGTGCAATAAAAATGCGCTTAGTGGTGTCTAGCAAAGTGTTTTGCTTACATCGAATTACTTCAATTGAATAAGGTGTAACCCATACCTTGCATGGTTGAACCTCACCCACACTTTTCACAACTATGACCACATGAATAGTTAAATCTTAAAAGAGATACTAATGGGAAAGGTGGGGTATATTTTTGCATAGCTAGTAACACTATATAACCATAATTATTGATATTTTTCAATTTGATAATGAACTTTATCGATTAATAAGAAAGAAAATATATGTTATCTTTATTTTAAGCACACAGGATTTTAACTAAAAATGGGTTGACTAATATTTTTCCGGTTAAATATAACCTCCCTATTATTGTTAAATTTATTAATTATGAAAATAAAAATCATCCTATGAATAAGAAATACACAGAAATGATTTTAAAACTTCACATATTTAAAACAAACTCCTGTTATATACTCCCTCCGTCCCAAATCTTCCGTCCCATATTGACTTGCACGGTTTTTAATGTTTAATAAAAAGTGGGTTGATATTTCTCTTTTGCCCTTTCACGTACTGCCCTTCTCCTTCGTCCCTAACCTTCCCATCCTCCATCACCACAAATATATCCATTCTTTTTCTTCATAATCAAAATCAGAAAAAAATATGCTTGATCCATTCTGACAAAACAAATACAAAGTCCTCATTTCCAAAAACGTGAAGAGCACACCAAATCTATCCACAGTATGAAGAAAGAACTTTATTTTTTATTGCCATCACCATCCCGGAAATATCAGATCTAAAGAGCTCTGACTTCATAAATCTTCAGATCTGGTCATTGTTATCTCTAGCTGGCGGTAAACCAGAAGAAGAAACAGGTAGGGGAGAGAAGAAGAAGAAAGAGAGGGGAGAGAGAAAAAGAAGAAACGGGCGAAGGGGTAAGAAGAAGAAGAAACGGAGACCGGGAGAAGAAGAAGAACAAAAGGAAGAGCTAAGAATGAGAAGGGACGGTGGTGGGATGAAGAAGAAGAAGAAAAGAGAGCAAGAAGGAGAATAAGAAAGAAAAAAAGGTAGATTGATCTTTTAGGTAAAATCTATTTGCCAAAGAAGGAAACAGGAAGAAAGATATGGGACGACCCAAAAGGGAAAACGGGAAGAAAGATATGAGATGGAGGGAGTAGTATTTAATGTGTGTGAGAGTGCTATAATCTATTGGAGGTCATATAGGAAACTTGAGGAATGGATGTGGCACTCCCGTCCTCTTTCCCAGTGTGCAACTCCTGTGAATAACTCTTACATTGGTAGGTCCTTTGGAGACCCACCCTGATTGCCCCAAATCCGGGGGTCATTTGAAACATGAAGTATATTTTTTGGTAGTGATAATTTGTAGGGTCCTTTTGATCCTACAGGCTGGAGTGGGCTTGATTGGTAGGCTGAGCTAGGGAAAAGTAGATGAACTAAGCACCAGGGTATGTGTGCTTGGTTCATTGGGTAGTACAGAAAGTAAAAGTGAATGCTTTTCGTTTATTGGGGGCAGTAGCCTGAACACAAGCTTACATGTTCAACTGTAAGTTCCAGCCCCAACACGGGTGCCAAGAGGCAGTATTTATTATCGTCAAGTAGAACTGCCAAAATGGGTGACCTGTGACCGCCCAAAAAAATGGTTTAGGCTAGATGGTTTTGAATATGGGCTAACAATTTTATAACCTGACTCGTAAACAATACTTTTGTGCTGCCGGGAAACACCGTGACATCAAAATGTAAACTTTTTTGCGGGATGGTCGGAGTAATTAAAATTTGCACTGGTTTCTATACTAGACACAACAACAACAACAACCCAGTTGGATCCCACAAGATTAGGGTCTGGGGAGGTCGGGAGTATGTGTGTACGCAAAACACCTTAGGATCCAAAAACATTAGCTTGAAATTCATTTAATAGTGTAAAAAACATGATTGAAATGCAAAAAGAAACTCAAGGTAATGGGATCATCTTAATCGAACTAGCCATTAGTCTTTTTCTGCAAGGAATGTGTAATGTTATTTTCTCTATTTGCAAAGGTGCTGATGATGAGCGTTTATGAGTGGCACAATAATTGTGAGTCACAAAGAATGACCTTTGCTATTGATTTATGAGTATGAGGCTGATTGGTCTTTACTTTGAAGTCTTTTATTCTTTGTGTCATTCTTCTTTGGAGTGAGTAAAAATGATAATGTTCTTTCGTCCTTGAAATTTCTAGGACGTCAATTTGTTTCCATATGCGTCATTTACTGATTATGCATGACATTATTTCTTGTCAATCACCTGTGTCTTGTTATGCAATAAGTAATAGATGTATATTATTTATTGTTACCATCAATTGTTCATAGTTTTCATATGGATCTATGCAGGGAGACCTTGATGAGCATTGCTAAGCATTATGAAACTGGTGAGTCTCTTCCCGAAGACATATACAAGAAACTCCTTGCTGCTAGGACTTTCCGTGCTGGATCCTTTAGTCTCCGTCAGGTTTGTGAGTTATCCCCCCTCCCAGTCTTCCCTCCTCTTTCTCTCGCACACTGATTTTGTAGGGAACTGAAGTCAAAAGTCGATTTTCATGCTCTCTAAATTATATACTCCCTCCATTCCATCATTAAGTTCCCATTTACTTTCACGGAGTTGAAAACACACGTGAAATTGTGTGGTTAGAGTATATGGAGAGAGATAGTGCGAAACACAAAAATTCATTTGTGAAAAGGAATAAGAATTTTACTTTGGGACTTTAAATGAAATGAAAGTGAGAACTTACATATGGAAGAGAACTTTCCATAAAAGGGTGGTGTGAACTTATATATGGGACGGATGGAGGAAAGTGTAAAAGTGTCTGGAAATTAAATGTCTTCACATCATCATGGCTCTGAACGCCCCATATGTAATTAGCAAACAGAAACCAGAAATTCCTGGGTGAGCTTTAAATGACTGTCATAGAGACATTTTATTATTTTTATTTCGCAGTTGAGATTTGCAACGCTCCTAGACCTCAACGTAAGCTCTATGTGTGGTCCACCAAGTCTTTGTTAGAAACTACAACTGGTTGCCCAAAGATTCTTCTGAGTTCACGAGGGGGGTGAAGGACTACTATTCAAGGAAACACCAAAGTCGGTGTATAAGTTACCACCTATACGACGACCTATGATGTCGATGTTCCAAGTAAACGAATGGCAAAAAATGTGTGTTTCTTTTGTTTGCCATGTTACTTTTCCTTTATCGACTCATTCCACATCTTTTTTTTGTTTTGGTACAAGGGGAAAATCCTCCCCTCCCCCTGATCTTAAATTTTTCTTCCGAGTTTGACTTGACACACATTAACAAAGTGAAATTGCGTGGTTGTGATTTACTTAAAATGATAGAAAGAATGTCAAAAACAGATCTTTCCTTGACAAGAAATAAGAATAAAATTTTAGGATGGAGGGAGTATCATTCTTGACATTGTTTTTTGTTACCACTTCTTTATTTAAGCCCATAATCTCTTTGTAATTAAATCTGTTTTATTATTTATTTTATTTGATGGACTCTTTGCACGCTTAAGTGTTCGGCTGTTTTGTTGTATTTTTCTTTTATCAAATTATTACTCTTATTAGGTAACAAGTGTGCCAATACTCTTAAAAATTTGAGAATTAACATAAATTGTAAAATAGTCACTGATATTCAAGAAAAAATGGGGTTGGAACTTAATGTCTCCTACTTAAGGAGAGTAGAGGGATTTAGTTGTCTATTTTGCTTGTTTTCATTTGACCGGAAATAGTGGTTCACTTCCAATATTCAGTAAAAAAATGATGAATAATTGCGTAGAGATGGGGTTTAAACACTTAAATGAATGAGTGTCATCTTCATTCGAGGTGGTTTGGACATGTGAGATGACGGAGTGTTGTGTCCCCAATATGGAGATGTGAGAGGCTCATGGTGGTGGTGAGGGTAGGGGTAGAAAGGAAGATTCGGAAAGAGGTAATTAGACACGGCCTAAGACTTTTGACCCTTACCAAGGATATGTCCTTAGATAGAAACTTTTGGAGAGCTAGAATTAGGGCAGTTCGGTAGGCGTCTTGGATTGGGTGGTAGTTTCTCACTTTTTGCTTTGTGTTTTCTACTTGCTATGCCTTTCTCTTATTGATACTAGTTGTCTTAGCTTTTTGTGCTTGTGTTTCCTCTGTTGTATGTGTCTTTATGTGTCTTCTGTGAGTTTGCGCTATTTGTGTTACTTGAGCTAGGATCTCTTGGAAACAGTCTCTCTAGTTTTGGGTAAGAGTAAGGTCTGCATACAGATACCCTCCCCAGATCCTACGCTCGTGGGATTCGATTGGGTTGTTGTAAATCCATTTCTTAAAAATGAGATATTTTAAAAACTAGACAACTAAATCCCGACAGAGGGAGTATTCTTTTTATTGTTTCGTTGATTTACATGACTATCATAGAAGACCAAATAATCAAGTGATAATAATGGTTATGCAGTGGGCAGAAGTTTTGTCTGCTGATGCTTTCTCTGCATTTGAAGATGTCGGCCTAGAAAACGAGACGGTAAAAATCAAACATTTCCTATTTTCTCCCCCCTGCTTTACAATTAAGGAAGCTCTTTTTGTGTTAGTCTCACTATTTTCATGTTCACCATTGATTGTCAAACAGGCTGTCCAAGAAACAGGAAGAAGATTCCGGGAAACCGTGCTCGCTCGTGGAGGCGGGAAAGATCCACTGGAGGTAGAAATTAACACTATGGTTCAAAGAATTAGGAAGGAAAGGAAAAGAAAAACCTTGAGGCCCCGTTTGGGACACGGAATTCAAACTATGGAATTGGAATTGAGGACTTCAATTCCAACTCTGGTGTTTGGTAGCACAAAAATTATGTGAATTTGGAATTGATAGTGCAAAAAATGAATTGGAATTGGTGAATTCAATTCTATGGAATTGAATCCCATGGAATTTCAATTCCAATTCAACAATTCAATTCCACTTCCATCAATTCCGTATACCAAGCGGACCCTGAGGAATTTGTTTTCCCTCTTCTTAGTTCATTTCCCCTGCATTTCCTTATCCTTTCACTTCTCTTTCTTTTTCCTCGTTAACCAAACAAGAAAAACTGGTTTCCCTCTCATTTTCTTTTCTTTTCCCTTTCAAATCCCTTGAACCAAACAGTGTAGAAGTCTATGCACTCGATTACCACATTCAGAAGTTGCACCCTCTCATGTCGTTTGAACGTTTTTTTTTGCAGGTTTTTATTGAATTCCGAGGACGAGAACCTTCTCCAGAGCCCCTCCTAAGGCACAATGGCCTCTTACCAGCTGCTGCATAAGCTTCCCAAACATGCCCTTCATAGGCCCAACCACGCCGCGTACGGTTAGCTTCTTCAAACTCCTCAGAATCACACTTAAGACTTTTGCCAACTAGTTTAAGAGGATTACTAAACTGGCAGACTGACTGATCCGTTATTTTTACCTCTTTTCCTTCGTATAACTTATATATACACAAAGAGTACAATTTTGCAGTTTCTTGGACTCAGTTATTTCACTCTTTTTACAACACTTATACTTGGGGATGGAAAGACTGCTCTATCAGTACTACCACTTAGAAACAGTTTCTTCTAAGCCCATATTGATTTGGTGCGCTATTTACCCGATTCTATCATTTACATCTGTCTTAGTATTTACACTATTTCAATCTCACATTACTCTCTCCGTCCCAATTTAATTTAAATCGCCTGTTTTGACTTTTGGGCATATTTAAGGAAACTAAAAAATAGAGTTGATTTTTTGAAATTGACATTACTTTTTTAGAGGGGTGATGATGAATGAGAAGATAAAGTGAAGAAGATTGACTTATTGTAGGGGTAGTTTAGGTATTTTATTTTTAAAAGTTTACAAAAACAACTAACAGACAACTTATTTTGGGATGGAGAAAAAAGGCAAACAGACAATTTAAAATGAGACAGAAAGAGTAATATATAAAATAAAAAAAGATAAAACTAATACCGTAGTATTAATTAAATCGGTGGGGTTCTAGTGACATCCTCTTTTGGTGACTAGCGCTGTCACTGTCATTTTGGAGCACTTCCGATGCCCCGTTCGTTAAATTAACGGTTCTTACCCTTCTAACCCACCCCCTAAACCCCTCACTCTATCTCCACCTCTGCACCCCCTCCTCAATCTCACCGTAAGGGCCCCACAATAATCATTTGATAAAACTTTTAAATTAATTTTTTTGTGTATTTATTTGTTATAATAAAAAAACCCCAATTTTTTTTAAATCTAAAATGGGACAAAAAATAATGAAATAAAAGAGAATAAACTCAAAAACAAATTTGGATAGAAATAGGTAAATATTTAAAATATAAAAGTGTAATCATTGTAGTGGTTGTGAGACACTATATGTGTAGAGTGAGTGAGATTGTGAGTATGGTTGATTTGGAATAAGCAGATAACCTCACGAAGAAAAGAGGAAACAAAAAAGGGAAAATGTTAAACTTCTCTCCTAGTTCGTGTTTAAGAGTATCTCACAGGCAATTCAATCCACATGCACTGTATTCGCTTAATGTAAGTGGGTGCCTCTCCCATGCTTATGAAATACGGAGTATAATTTTCGTCAAGAATATTTGTTCATCTTTGATTTATAATTAAATAAACATAATAGAGTATATATTAATTACATAAAACAAAATTTTGAAAATATTTTTTAAGATAAATCTAATAAAATTGTTCTTGTATTAATATATAATCTAAATTTTATTTAATATATGGTCAATATTTATTAATTTTGACTCTAAAATGTTAAAATTAAATGAATATTCTGGAACCAAGATAGTATTTCTTCCATTCTAATATACTCCGTATTAAAGTCTTGGTTTTCTTTTTGAAAACAAAAACTTCTCATTCATTAAAAAATGGCATTACAAAGTTTGGCTGAATAAGAGACCAGCCAGTCACCAATCTCCACTCTAACTTCTTAGGGAGGAAGCAGAGGCACCTGCATGGGTAAGCTTCATGACTTCCAAACCACAAAACAAAATCACCCCACCTATGTGGGTAGGATGCCACAAGGCAAACCTTTACCATTTAAATTTTATGTCAAAGTTATAACATGATGGGTTATAATTAATTATTTAATTTGTTTTAATTTTTTTAAAAATAAAATATTTTAGGTTACTTGTTGGTAGGTGCTGACAGTGATTTTATAATTTGTGGTACTTGCATTGAAGGTAGAAATGAGATCCCATTGCAGGATTGTTCGATGCATGGATAGTACCCATGAGTGCTTCTCCCCTTCTTAGCTAGCTTATCATGAGCCATCACTTTATTGGCCTTCTCGTATTAATAAAGTCTTGTTCTGGTTTTACACAATAGAGAATAATAAGTCTTGTTTTCTCCTAATATTTTGTATGATTTACATTTATTTTTTACTTATTAATTTGCATATGTATCATTTGTTTCAAAGACAAGGGAGTAATAATTTTTTAGGAGAATAAACATACGCAGTCAATAGCACACGGAAAGAAAACAAAGTATATGCGTACGCAAATTTTTAGAGGGAAGATAATGAACATAAGTGTAGTAAAGACGGGTAAAGTGTGTAAAACAATCCATTAAAATTAATGAACTTTTTCCTCAAAATGGAATGGCATAATAGAGATCCTTTTATGCGTGTAATGTAAACTAACAATCTGCCAAGGACAGACTTGAATTATGTTCATGCATGGCAATCATATTGTTGTTGATATATTTACATACACACACACACAATTTTTTTGAAACGTGTAAATTTTTTTGGGACGGAGGGAGTATAAAGTAAATAGAGGGCCCGTTTGGAAAGAGTATTTTTGATTAGCATTAACGTTTTAGATAAAATTTTAACGGTGCATATTAACTTTAAAAACGCTAACACTAAACGTTGTCCGTTGATAACCTTTTCAAAACGTTAACACCTAATTACCTCTGACACTTTTCCCAAACAGCTAGAGTAATTCCAACTATTACATACTACATATTTTCAAAATTTTATTCATTATAAATTCAACCAATGGGGAAAACTCTGGTTTCCAAAACAAAAATTGTACTCAATAACATAATAATAATAATAATAAGGTAAATTTTCACTCTTAGACATGACATATTTAGAAAATTCTATTCTTTGCTATACAAATCAAATAGAAGAACTCGGTACGTAACAAAGTCTATATTTAAGGGGTTTTTTTGTTGGTATATCTACAATTAGTAATACAAAACTTGTAAGAAAAAATTTAGGATATTAATTAATAATTGCCTTAATACTCCGTAATTCCCAATTATATATAGAACTCTATACTTACCATATAAGCATATATTCTTCCACGGTGAGTAATATATATAAATAGAACCCAAACCCATTCTTAATTAATTATATATATATACCAGTCTGGGATTTATTAAGTGCCTTGTTAATTAAAAACTTCAATAAATCCGCCATGGCCAAGTTTTCTTATTGCAATATCATCCTCGTCCTCGTCATCCTGGCTCATCTCACAGGTATAATCATTCTTAAAATATTTTTCAACAACATGAAATTGTTTAGTGATTCGTGTTTTTAAATAGTTATATTCGAAGCGTTTGTTTTACTTTATACCTCTTTTCGTAATTACAAGTTTATATGTTTTTCTTTACGTATAAATATCTAAAGATGATGAACTTTGAGTGAATAAATAGTGTGTATAATGTGAAATATATACAATGAAAATTCATTCTTTAAATCTCTTTTTTATATGAATTTTTATAATGGTATTATTTATATATTCAGATACAAAATGGGTTGAGAGGGCAAATGCGTTTTGCATGGTGGATCCGAATGATTGTTTGTTGCCAGAATGCAGAAAGACGTGTTACCTGCAGCACGGTCAAGCTTTTGGACAGTGCCTACAAAGATCGGGAGGCGACCCACTCAATCCTAAATATCAATGCATTTGCGCGGGAGGCCAATGCAATTAGTTTGTTCCTAATTAGCTCATTAATTAATTAAGTCCTAATTATGGAGAATCTATCACTCAATTTTGTAGTTTAGCGTAGATTATATTAGTGCATTATTGCACTTATTTCTATACATATGAAGAAGTATTAAAAAGTGAAACGTATTTATGGATTTAGTTATGGATTCAAATGTTCTCTTTTTAATTTCACTTTGGTCACTTATGAAAAAGTAGAATTATCAATTATATGGTTGATTGGTAATATATGAAGATTTTTTTTTAATGCTGTGCTGATAATATTTCGATTTATGCTTATTTGTGGCCTTTTTAAATCATTTTAGCTCGCAATATTTTTAATTGGGTTGGAATATATATTTTTGAATCTGTTGGTTTGTATTTTATTTTTCCTTCCATTTCCTAAGTTATACATACTCTGTGTCAAAGATAGACGTAAAGAAAGGAATTATTTCAATTTTGTTTTTCATAATTTTATTATCAATCCCTCTTTTTTAGTAGAGTAATTAATCATAGTGGAGTTGGAGAGGTGGGTAATATGCCCAGAAAGGATAGGTGGGTAAGTGGGTTTGGTCAAAAATTGGTCATGGCTAAGATCCAAGGTCCACTGGGCTGGCAGTAGTGGTACACTGGTACTATTTATCAACATATTGGGTGGGCTGGGGATTGTTTAGCTGGGCTGTTTCAGGTCCAGGAGTGACCTCACACCCTTTTTTTTATAAACATTACACTGATACTTTTCCCCCAAAGCTTAATTACTCTAAATACTTCTCAATTAGTGTGCATTTGATAATAAAGACCATTAAGCAGCTTTTTTAGATTGATGATCATCATTACTCTGTCTGTACATTCACTTCTATGTTACTCACCACTGAAGTTAATGTGGTGTGACTTTTCTATGCAAAACAAAAAACTTAATCCTTAATCTAACCATTCCAAAGCTTCCAAAGCCCATCAGACTTCACAATTTAAGGGCTTCTTCTGCTCCATATAGGGTAGGGTGATCTCAGTCTGCCCTCGCCTCTGAGTCATTCCCTGAAGAGTTTCCTGATTCTGATGGTTGTTAGTGATTCAAATCAGTCAGTATATATATATGTCATGATCAATTATGTTTGGGGCACCCCAACTTTGACACCCACGATGTCGAATGTTTGTAAATGTCTAAAAGAAGGTTGTGTCAATTTGGGGTACACTTTGCATTTTTTTTCTATGTGTCATATCTGATGCAAAACTACTGGCATTTGTGCAATAAGATAAGATACAGATTAGAATGGGTTGGGATCTTACCACTGGAAGAAGAAGAACTGCTTGAGTTTGAGGTAGTTGAGCTGCTTGATCCACTAACATCATCCTTGTCAATCTCTATTGTGGGTATGCCACTGTTCAGAGTTTCTTCCCCAATATCAATGTCCTCTTCTTCAGCATCATCCCCTTTGTGCTGTGGGATGGGTAAATCTTTTGGCACCTGATTCTTGAAAACAGCACCATCATCAATCCAAACCAAAAGAAACTGAAGAAAACTAATGATCAGGTCAAGAACACAGTTAGTTAATTCTTACTTTGCTAATGGATTGCATCTTCGCATCGTTCAAATCATTCTTGAGGGACTTGACAAACCTGTCAAGTTCCCAGAGTGTTTCACTGTCAAGAGCTTCAATGTCAAGATCAATCTCACCACTCTCCACAGGAAGAGAAGGATATCTCTTCATAATCGTTTGCAGGACCAGTTCAATCTTGTCTTGGTCCAGGTTCTGCAAGCGCATACCCAATGCCATCTTCTCCTTAAATGTCATCTGCCTTTCGCTTGAATCCATAACCACGAGCATTGCCGATTTCCCAGGCCAAGGCGACACAACTGGTTGGGGAAAAGATTTCAAATCTTGGACTGGAAGGGAAGGGTTTTTCGCAATGGGAATTTGGTCTTGAGGATGCTGTGTAACCACATTCTTGATCATGCCTTCAAAGCACTCCAGAAACATTTCTGCCAAGGTGTGCACTTCGTGGCCCTTCTGGTTATAAACAAGCGCATTGTTGAATGTCAGTCTAACATCAGCTGCAAAATCTTGAGGGGTTTTGTACTCATTCCCCAGCAGCTTTGATTTCACAGTTCCAAGATCCATTGGGTGCTTGATGATCAGGCTGTAATTGTGAAGCTTGAGCCCTTCGGCATCCACAGGTTTGTTGAAAATCCAAGCATGCTTTCGACGCATCAGTTTTTCCAAAATCTGCTTGCACCTCTTCATCATAGCCTGATCACTCATCTTTGAGCCCTTCCTCTGAACAGCCCGCGGCTTGGGGCCTCTACAGGAAGCTAAATCGCGTCCCCCATTTGTCCGGTAGAGTTTATTGAGTGTTCCTGGCTCATTTGAACCATTTGGTGCTCCATTCTCGTTCAGATTGTTCAATGGAGGTCTCTTTTCAGCTTGAATGGGTGGAGTAAAAGCAGGTGGCGGCGGAAGTTCTAGGGCTTTCCGGCATGGAAACTCTCCGGTCTCAATTTGCTGCATAACCTGCTGAACCCTAATCAGATCAGAGATCATGCGCCGTTTGAGCTCACGTCGCTGCATTCTGGAATAGGAATCCAGATTGTGTACCACATATTCTTTCCTGAACAGGCTACTGCAGTCGATTGGAGTGTTGGGGCCGTTCGGCGTCCGGCAGGTAGACCGTGCTGGGTGAGGATCCGCCGGCTGCGAGCAAGGCGGCGGACAGTTGAAGTGCTGCCACTTCAACTGATTGCTCGGAGTTTCGCCGCGGTTGAGGTTGTACCCGGCGTTAGGGTTGATGAGGTCGCTGAAATGAGGGCCTTCCGTCGGCTTGCAGCCGAAATTCGCCAATGCATCACCCCGCGGAGTTCCATTTCTTCCCGGGAAAACCGCCGCCGACATAGGAGGGGGGAATGGTAGAGGCGATTTTTGGAAGTTGTACTGGTGCGGCCTCGGCTGCTCCACGGTGTGGAAGTGGGGAAAACTCATTATGGGAATGCCGGAAAGTTCACGCTCCGGCGGCCGGAGAAATGAGGAAGCAATAGGGCCGGAGGGCTCTGAAATTCCTGTATGTCGCCGGACGGAATTTTGTACGATGACAGAAGCAGGGGAAACGCACCCTGGTTAAACGCCAAAAAGTCTGCCCGCTTCTGTTTCGGGCACTACTGCCCGAGTGGCTGACCTCAATTGCCACGAACGGCTGAGATCCGCTGCTGGACACGTGGACGGTAAACGGCCAACTAGTAGAAAAGCAATTCTTTTTTGAAGGAACAATTCATGAAAATACTTTTCAAATATTCCTTCCACTCTAAATTAATTACTTCATGTGCCAAAAAAGAGTACCAAAATAAATTAATTACTCCATCTCTACTGAAATTGATAACAATTTTTCATAACTTTTCTTTACTTGAATATTTTTATTGATGTACTCCGTATTTGATAAAATAAAATATACGGAGTATGTGTTATTTCTTTTTTTTTTTTTAAAAACTTTTGATTGAATTTTTAAAATATACTTTCTCCCTTTCATTATATTGTCTGTTTCGATTTACGATGTTTGACTGAAAATTTTTTCAAAATTTTTATATGAAAAATGATGTAGAATTAAAAAATAAAAATCGCATATTAAAAAATTACTACATCCGTCCTAGAGTATTTGTCCACTTTCATTTTTACACAATACACTTCTTTAATCCATTTTATCTTGTAATTTGTATATTAAAAAATTATAGAAATTATACATTAATAATCTATATGTTAAGACAAATCAAACAAGATCACACATGACTATATTTAGGCTTACACATTGAGAGAATTTGATGAGTCAAAGTGTTTAGATGAACAGTTCCAAAAGTCAAAAATGGATGAATACTCCGGGACGGAGGGAGTATATCAAAAGATTTACAAACATGAATACATATTATTTTATCAAATGACTAACAAAAATAGTAAAAGAAAGTAAATAAAGTTTGACCTTGTGAATAATAAACATGCAATTTAAATTATGACAGAGAGTAATTTTTTTTAATTCTTACAACAAATTTTAAGTAAAATGACTTCCGAAAGCACATGATTTTACTTCGGAATGCGACAGTTATAATATAATTTAGGACGAAGTGAGTATCTCAATTCATGAGGAAGTTATTCAAGTTCGAGCCGCGCCAAATTTGTCATTACAACCTGGACGAGTAGGTGCCTACATATGAAGAAATCGACAAAGAATGGAAACAAAGAAACCGCCAATCAAGAAATTCGCTCAAATAATCTTAATTACTTAAATAACGGATTTCAGTAAATATACATTATATTTAGTCGCTCAAATAATCATTAATTACTTCCTAATTTAATGTACTACTCATTTTTTTACTAATATTCTTATTATTAAATCTTTTTTACTAATGTAATATTTTTATTCAATAAAATCTTGTTGTTTAGATTTAATGAAATAATGAATTCTTCTTAATTTACTTTTACAAAATGTGTATTAAAAAATTTTAAAAGTAAAAGTTTGAAGCCCCAAGGTTCAAACCCATATCCAGTGAAACGTAAGTTAAATGAGAGTTCAAACTAATGTAGCAGAGAGAATGTTTGAAGCCTCGCGTTTCAAACATATTTCGAGCGCTCTTAGTTTTGCATTTTACATTTGATTATATGATTCTTAGTGTTTTTGGTGGTGATAGATTATTTTGTCAATTGCTCCTTTTTTTCCAGTAGAATTGCCATCAATGCGATTTTTACTCAAATTTATATACACCCTCCGTCCTAAATTAGTTTTTCAGTTTGATTTTCTTGATTAATTTTTTTTAGAACTTTGATTGCAAATTACGAAAAAAATACACTAAATTTTCATAAAAAATTAATATAAATAGATTTATTTTGAAACATACTCCGTAGTTTTGAAATATTCTATTTTTATATCATATAATTATATAAAAATATAGATATCAATGGTAAAAATATTATATTAGAGACCGTGAAAAATTAAATAAAAAGTTAATTTTAGGGTGAAACATTTTTTTTCTCTTCATGACATTCTTGTGCCAGAAACTCAGATGGGCATGGGTAGCTTAGATGGGCGGATATGGGTACAGCTTTTAGTCTATTTGATACAGGTCCGATTGGGCCCATCCATAAGAATGGATAGTTATTTAGTGCTAAGCCCAATTAAGGCCCATCCTACATGTATATTTACACTTTTTTGGGAGTAAGATTGTTTATACATACTCTCCCACAACCTCAGTTTTGTGGGGATTTAAAACTAAGTTATTATTGTTGTGAAGCTTTAGATGGGAAAGTATGTTTTTATTGGTAAAGCCCAAATGCAATTTCCATATTTCAATTACTAGTAAGTTAAAGCCCAAATGCCACAGCCCACAAATCCCACAATGGCTCATTCACTTTTATCAGTTCCCTCTTCCCTCTTCCCGTTTCGACGGCGGCTGACGAACGGAGCACGCTCGCAAGTCGCGTCACCGGGACCTGTGGAGCAGCCCTCGCCCTTCTGCTCCGACGGGTCTCCGACAGGTCGCCGTCGTATCCTCTAAATCGAGAATGGATGTTGAGCGGTAGAGGTATGTTTGAATCTCCATTTCTCATCCAAGGTTTTTGTTTCAAACTTCAAACCTTTTCCTCTCTTATTGATTTGCTCCAAGATTGTGTTTTTGTATTTATCATCCGAAAAAATCATTTCCAATTCATGACAATTCTATGAATTTGAATTGGAAATTTTTTACTGCTGGTAATTTATTAACAATAAGCCTTGAATTGAATCAGTGAAAGATTTATGAATCTGTGAACTTGAGTCTGAATTGATTAGTGTAATGTGTTCGGAGAGCTTTAGGAGAGACAAAAGTTGTGGCTAGCTGTCTGGCAGGGACAACAAAGAATGAAAACCCTATTTGGAGTGCTTATTATGTTTTAAATTTTAATGAAGAACATATTTTTTGCTCAATTGGTATTTTTTTGTTGGTCTTTTCTAATGCTTGTTTGCTTCTATTTGTTTCAAGTTTTAAATTTAAGAGGCAGATGTATTCCTATGAACAAATCACGCCAACGCTCTTTGACGGAGCAAGCAAAACAAATTGTGGACTATGTGGTTTCTAAATTTTGATTGACTACTATTCGCTTTGTGGTTTTGTTTTTTAAATTCTGGAGTTGTGGAATTGTTGTCAAACTGTCAATGCCCACACCAACACAATTGTGAGTGTGTTTTTGCGTCTTTATGTTTAATGAAATGATGGTGACACTTTGTATTGTGTAATCTACTAGTGTATAATTTGATGCCCATTTTAGTATTGATTTAAAAAAATGTCTAAACTCGGTAAAAGTGGACTGGGAAAAGAGGTCCGGACCGGCTACAAATAGGTCGGGTCTTTGGTCCATGTAAAATCATAATTTCGGTCCAAACCCAGTCCTGTTCGGTTCCTGACCAGTGCACACCCCTAATTATGACTAAACAATTTAATATTCTCTGTATATTTTCAGTAGCTTGTATTTCAGTAAAAGAAATCCGCCTTAATTAGACTTAAAATGGAATCTATACCAAAATAAAGCTTCTTATGTTTTTATCTCCTAAATAGGAGTGTTGACACTGTGAAATACCTACAATGGCATTGTGTGTTGGCATTTCACAGTATTTTTGGCATTATATATTGACCTTATAAGTCTTATTTTGGTATACAAACATTAAAGACTCTATTCTGGTATATGGAACATGTTTTAGTTTTAGTTAGGTATTCCTTCCTTCCAATTATTTTTTATCATTTTGAGGGCCCAAAATTCTTTTATGGCACAGGACCCTGGAAAAATTAGGACTGACCCTACTGTGAGGGCAATATGGAGGCATTGAAGTTTAGTTCGGCCTCACATTCCCTGGCACTTGGAAGTTCACCTTCGGGTTCATGCCACGGTCCTCGTCCTAATAGGTTGCTGCAATACAAGATTTACAGTAACGGTCTCAAATTAAAAACTCCCAGAAGATATTCTATTAGCGCCTCTTCTTCTAGTGACCGAAATTCTGAGGTTACTCTGCTCGATTATGGTGCCGGCAATGTGCGCAGTTTGAGGAATGCAATTCAGTTTCTTGGTTTCAGTATTAGAGATGTGCAAACACCTGAGGACATAATGAAAGCAAAATGCCTAATTTTCCCCGGAGTAGGCGCCTTTGCTGCTGCCATGGATGTGCTAAACAAGAACGGAATGGCCGAAGCACTCACTGCCTACGTCGAACAAGATCGCCCATTTCTGGGCATTTGTCTTGGCTTGCAACTGCTCTTTGAGTCAAGTGATGAGAATGGTCCAGTAAAAGGTCTTGGTTTAATCCCCGGAGTAGTTGGCCGTTTTGATTCATCTGAAGGGATCAGAGTACCTCATATTGGATGGGATGCACTGGAAATAACTAAAGACTCAGAGATCTTGGATGGTATTGGAAACAAACATGTCTATTTTGTCCATTCATATCGAGCAATGCCTTCAGATGATAATAGAGAGTGGGTGTCATCTACTTGCAAGTATGGTGACAATTTCATAGCTTCAATCAAGAGGGGAAATGTCCAAGCTGTGCAGTTTCACCCTGAGAAGAGTGGAGATGTTGGCCTTTCTATCTTGGAAAGGTTTTTGAAACCGGGGTCCAAAGCAACAAAGCAGCCATTCCAAGGTAAGGCCTGTAAACTTGCAAAGAGAGTTATTGCTTGTCTTGATGTCAGGAGCAACGACAAAGGAGATCTTGTTGTGACTAAAGGCGACCAGTACGATGTAAGAGAGCACACAAAAGAAAACGAAGTGAGAAACCTCGGCAAGCCAGTAGAACTTGCGGGACAGTACTACAAAGATGGAGCTGATGAGGTCAGCTTTTTGAACATCACTGGTTTCCGAGACTTCCCTCTTGGGGATCTCCCAATGTTGCAGGTACTGAGGCAGACATCAGAGAAGGTTTTTGTGCCTTTAACCGTTGGAGGAGGCATCAAAGACTTCACTGATGGAAATGGAAAGTACTACACTTGCCTAGAAGTTGCAGCAGAGTATTTCAGGTCTGGCGCCGACAAGATCTCTATAGGGAGTGATGCTGTATATGCTGCAGAAGAATACCTAAAATCCGGAGTCAAAACTGGGAAAACCAGCATAGAGCAGATCTCAAGAGTTTATGGGAACCAGGCAGTGGTTGTCAGTATAGACCCTAGAAGAGTGTACGTGCGGGACCCACACGATGTAGAATTCGCGGCTGTCAGAACGAGGGAAAAGGGTCCGAACGGGGAAGAATATGCCTGGTATCAGTGCACAGTGAAAGGGGGGCGAGAGGGGCGAGGAATCGGAGCATTGGAGCTTGCAAAAGCTGTTGAGGAATTGGGAGCAGGGGAGATACTTCTGAACTGCATTGACTGTGATGGGCAGGGAAAAGGCTTTGATATTGACCTCATCAAGTTGGTATCGGACGCGGTGCGTATCCCTGTCATTGCAAGCAGTGGGGCAGGGTCAGCCGGGCACTTCTCTGAGGTTTTCAAAGAGACAAATGCCTCTGCTGCCCTGGCTGCAGGGATATTCCATCGCAACGAGGTGCCCATTCAGTCTGTGAAAAAGCACCTGCTCAAGGAAGGTATAGAAGTCAGAATGTAGTAGTAATGGTTTTTATTGGAATTAAGCTAGGGATACACCAACATGGGATACTCCAAGTGTATACCAAGCCAACACAGACACACACATTCTGTGTCTAGTCTGTGTCTGTGCAACACAGACACTTTGTGTCTGTGTGTATCTGTGTTGGCTTGGTGTACACTTGGGGTACCCTATGTTGGTGTACCTCTGTGTACCTCTAGCATTGCCCTTTTTATTGATGTTCACTGGTATTTCTTTAACCTGAGAACACAGAATAAATTTTGGAGTGGCTTGACACCCAAACTGATAATCTCAAGAGTTCTGCTCAGAATATTTGAGCAGGCTTCTTCTTTATGGTGGCCTTACCATGCTTTATTGGAGCTTGGGGGGCAAACTTTTGCTTCTTCTTTAGTGGAACTTGATATGTATTTGTTGTTGACCATACCCCATTTTCATGTGACATTCTTAGTTTGGTCTCACACAGATGCACCAGTACCGTTTCCAGCCTGCTCGGGGACTTCGGGCTGTAAATTAATTGGATCTTCTATGCGTTTATAAGTTTGGTTAAAACTATTTATACTTTTCTTTAACTTGCAAGTTAGCAGCTGATGACATTTTGTTCTGTGTATAAGTTGACCACTTGTGAATATTCTCAAATGAGTTAGCTAATACTTAAAAAATAAGTAGGTTATTTTTAAAAACCTAGCTTGAAAATAAATAGGTAAAAAATATTCTCAAATGAGTTATCCATCATTAAGTTGTTTTACTTTCACGAAAGAACATTTAGCTTATAAATAGTTTATAAGTTAAAAGTTGTTTAACAGTAAGTCAATAAGTACCGACACAGGAAAACATCTCTAGTTACAGGTTTTAATTATATATTATGAATTTGTATTGCAAATTGTTACCATGAAATAAATTTTAAAAATTTTAACAAGATAAATTTAATAAAATAATGTTTATACTAATGAGAGCTTGTAATCTTACATGAACATAAACGACACTAGTACGTGACATCAATAGTTTTGGGGTCCCGAATCGGCGATGGGGGATGCAGGGGCAGGGTAAAATTGATGGGTCTGAGGGGTTTAGGAGGTAGAAATCATCACTTTTACTAATGTAACACCGTAGGTGCCCCAAAACCACTGATGTAACGATGTTACACTACTTGAAGTGTAACATTAGCGACTCTCTATACTACTCCGTCCAAATTTAAATTGTTTATTTCAGTTTACGATTTTTTACTAAAGTAATTTTCTAATCATTTTAAATGAAAAATGGTGTGGAATTAAGAAAATAAACTATATCAAAAGATTTACAAAACTAGCAGTGACATAATAATGTTATTTTATCAAATACTAACGAAAGTAGTAAAAATAAATGAATAAAGTTTGATCATGTGAACACCATACATACAATTTAATTTGGGATGGAGGGAATAATATATTAGTGTGTTTGTTTAATTTGAGGAAACTCCCGGTATATGTAAGAAATGAATAAACCATTCCTCGCAATGTATGTCAGGCGTTTATTTCCTCGCAGTGCAACACGGAGTTGCCTACTCTGTTTCATTTTGAATTATTTCTTTAGACGGAGAAGCCAACTCCGTTTGGGCCGAATTATTTAATGAGACGGAGTGGGCTACTGCGTTTGGGCCGAATAAAACCAAGACGGAGTTGGCTACTCCGTTCGGCCTGAATTAATCAGAGACGGAGTAGCGTACTCCGTGTCTCTTCAATTTCAAAACCAGATCTCTTCCACTCGGTTTTACTCCTCCTTTTACAAATCTGGGCGTAAAAACAAAAAAACGACGATGGAGGGAGAGAGAATGACAACGCAAGGGGACGCCGACGGACGAGGAGAACCGAGGGAGAGAGAACGACGACCCCACCTTGACCGGAGTCAGCTACTCCTTTTCGGTGCTTGAAGGTATTTTTAATTTATTTTTGTTAAATTTGTTCGAATGATTTTGAATTGTGTGAAAATATTAACAAATACTCCCTCCGTCCCTGAATGTTTGTCCACTTTCATTTTTGCACACCATCCAATGCACTTCTTTATAGGTAAAATAGAACATTAAACATATAATTTTTTAATATTTTTAATATATAATTATTAGATATACAATTCTGCTTAGTTTGTTCTAGTGTGTACTGATAAAAATCCGAATGTGTAACTCTCTTAAACTATTCAGTTTCACGAATCTACTTGTCTTCCAAAAGTCAAAAGTGGACAAACACTCAGGGACGGACCAAGTATATTGTTTAATTTTATAAATTTGTTATTGTAAAATAATTATTTAGACATAGATTGTATGTATAAGTGGTTACTTCATGATTTTTTTAATATAATTATCTTGTTATATTTTTATTAATTGAATATATTCTTATGTTGTAATCCTTGAAGCAAATGGATGTACATTCGGGACCTATTTTACGAGATATTTTAGTAATTGAAGCGGGAGACCATATGTGTGATGCGGCTTGGGTCGATGAAGATTATGCTAAAAATGTATTAAAGTGTCACCGGACTTGTACTAGTTTGTATACGAGGACTCTTATTGTTAATAGACTGGTTCGTGTGATGAATTTTTTTGAGAATACGGATTTCATGGGGTTGAGAAAATTGGTGGCTTGCAGTCGGACTTAGCTTTGATCACTGCTCTAGTGGAGAGATGGAGACCCGAGACCCATTCATTCCATCTTCCCTTCGGAGAGGTTGGAATTACTTTGCAGGATGTAGAGGTTTTGCTTGGATTGCCCGTAGATGACAATCCATTGGCGGGGATGACTGGCCGATCCATTGGCTATATCATGTATTTCAATTATGTCTAAGTTTATGTTTTATGAATTTCACAAAATAAATTAGTTATGGCATGTGTTTTGTAACCTTATTCTTATAAATAAATTTTATGTACTCTATCATTAAATTTGTTTTGATTTACTTCTTATTTTAATTTCGGTGTATGGTGCTTTATTTAAAGTCAATAAACAATTCTTTTATTTATGAAATATTGAGAAATAAAGGAAAAAAATTGTTTTAACAAAAAAATTAAATAAAAATTGGGGGTCAAAAATAACTTTGTGAAAGAGGGACGAAAAACTGAGGAACAAAAAAAATTGATTTAAAGACGGACAGAGTTGGCTACTCTGTTTCCATAAATAATTATTTGGAACGGAGTTGGCTACTCCGTTTCCATAAATAATTATTTAGGAATGGAGTTGGCTACTCCGTTCCATTAAATATTAAAGCTTAAACGGAGTAAGCTACTCCGGTTGGCATTTTTTGGGAAAGTGTATTTTTTATTTACATATAAAGGAACCACAAACAAGCATTCTACACATGCAGGGAAACGACCCGTTTAATTTAAGTCTAAAATTCGTTTATTAAATCCCTTATGAATGAGAATTGATTCATATTAGTTTTCTTCAGTTGTTGTTAAATTGGTTGAATCGCACATATTGATTTCATAAGTAGGTTGGTATATCAAATTTGGTTTTCATTGAAGCTATTTTAGCTCCATATTATAGTTAAATGATTTCCGAATTCATACGCGATTCTTTGTTGTGCTATGTGTTTTGTTAAATTTTAAGGATTATGGACTTCTTAGCCTCATAAGTTGGACATTTCCTTGTGATTCGTTATGAAGTGATTGTTATGTCGTTCGTTTGTTTTGTGTTGATTTTCATAAAATTTAAGGTTGTTTAAGCATAAAAACAATTTTTAAGTTTTTTGAAAATATGTAATGTTTTTTATGTGAATAGACGAGAATTCTTATGCTTAAGTTGTTCAAGGAGACCTGCAAAATATTTTCATCATTAGACGATAAAGTTTATTAAAGTGTATCAAATGTTCTTCATGAATAATTTGTGCATGGGAGTTAGAATGAAAGAAAGATTCGCTCTTTTATAAACTTTTTCATCTTTTGGAATCAGTTTGAGTGTTTGAGGTGAGTGGAGGGTCAAAGTGATCCAAAAGGCCTTTAAATTCTTGACTCCGGGCCTTATAGAGAGTTGACAATCCTCTATATGTGATCAAGGAGATGAATCGACTCGAGCCGTTAAATTCTTTTCTATTCTTAAGTGCGTAAGTTACGTAATATATTGTCCATGTGTTTATTATACGTGTAATGTTCGGTTTGTGTTCGTTCTCTTTTTAATTTTGTTTCGGGTTCTTGGCTGTGTTTCTTGGATTACTTTAGTTGGAGAAGTTGATTATCTTTTGAGCTTGTTTCCCCCATTTTTATCAAAAAAACCAAAAAATAATAAAATAATAAAAACAAAAAAAAATATTTACTTTTTATCCAACAACCCCCCTTGTGTTATATTAATATAAGTTTTTATTTACTAAGTTATATTATAAGTTACTACCTCCGTCCCAGAGTATTTGTCCACTTTCATTTTTACACACCATCCAATGCACTTCTTTAATCCATTTTATCTTGTAATTTGTATATTAAAAAATTATAGAAATTATATATTAATAATCTATATGTTAAGACAAATCAAACAAGATCACACATGACTATATTTAGGCTTACACATTGAGAGAATTTGATGAGTGAAAGTGCTTAGATGAACAGTTCCAAAAATCAAAAGTGGACGAATATAGCGGGACAGAGGGAGTATAAATATAAGTTTTTATACTTTTATATACTTAGGTATTTGGTTTGTTTATAAGTTATATTATAAGTTCAATGTTTATACAGTATAATTTTAGTTTGCTTTTATTTGTTTTATTTTCGTGACAATGTATTTGCATGCTAATTGGTTTTAAAAAGTACAAACTAACTCCGTGGATATTGGATAAGGAAGGAATAGAGTGCAAGAGATGTGTAGAAAATGAAGGATGATAAGGGATTTTATAGGATTTAGAAAAATAAATCCGTTAGAGGTGGAGATGAAATGTTTTCGGTTGTTTTTACCACAAGTGATCTATCCAAGGCATATGATCGATCACCTCGAGTTAAAAAATATTGTAAAAGAATTAGTTAAAGCCACGGGGGGTCGATCCAACCCCCTCGATCGATCCTCCGACCATTTTTACAAAAATAATTTGATCGATCCATTTCAGTGGATCGATCCCCTGTTTGAAACACTGCACACTTGGATCAATCCAAGCAGTGGATCGGTCCCCTAATGAACAAACTCAAAACATGGATGACCCAAAGCATGTGTGCAAGTGGGATATACAAAAATGAATTTATTGACTGGTTTGGGACAAAGAAATAAGGGGAGGAGGCTCTCAAAAAACAAACAAATAACTCAAGTTAAATGGATTAATTCAAATTCAAAACTTGAATAAAAAGATTTGAATTTTATCTTTCTATTTTGTTGTAGAAATGAGTGCCAAAAATATTTTGTGTCAAATAATATACATAAAAAATATTTAAAGTATATTTTTCTCACCACAAAAATTTTATGCGTTTCAAAAGATTATTTTGAGAAATTTTGACACACTATTTTGTAAGAAATCCTCCATTTATAAGAAATCCTTGGCGAGAAGGTGCGGTATGGGTTTACAGTGGGGATCATTTATAAAGTGAGCCTACTACTAAACAAACAAACAAACAACAACAACAACAGCATTACCCCAGTGCCTCAATGGCTCCCGCCCAATGCAGGGTAAGGGGTCGGATGTACACATTCTAAACCCTATTTTTAAAACATATAGCAGCTGTTTCCAGATGACCCATGATGAGCGTCGAAAGTTGCATTGACTAATTGCTACTTCACAATTGCAAGAAGCACAGATAGTTTAAAGAATCAATTTGCTTTATTACATCATACCCCAAAGCCAAAAAAATAAATAGTGAATCTTTAGCTCCATAGGGGAATGGAAATGAGCCTACTACTAAAGATTATCATAAATAAGAATTTCTGTCATACCACTGTAGCTAAATGTAGCAAAAACACTTGTTTTAAGCTATGTGGAAAATTATGAGGCAGATTATTTGTGTAAAATGAAATATTTGCAAAGGGTAATATAAACAAAAGTGCTTCACCATTCTAATTGTTATGGTTGAATTCTTTGAATTGTTTATTAATAAATTTAGGACTGGGTTGGAAGTACTCGACCAGGTTATAAGACTCCTCAATTGACCTACAGTAAACAAACCAATTCGGTAGTTCAACTCAATATCTTAGTAACCTATCATTCTTTTATAAACAATCAAGTGCGGGACTCTAACACTTGAGAGACCAGGCACACTGCTTTGGTTTGGGACATATTCTTTCAAAACAAATAATAGAATCTAAAAAGTAAAGTATAACCAAGATATACAATTACTTACCATCACTCCAAGTCAACTTGATCTCAAGTTTATAATCATTCGTCTTGTGTTCAATGCTGCGATGTCCAATACTGAATGTATCCCTGCATGATACATGATGTTTCAGAGACATGTCACAAAAAGCTATGTCAATAATGAGGGATGAATCCATTGGCACCGCAACAACATTTCGAGAAAGTGGTACTTCCCCATCCTTCTTTAATTGTACTGGATCCTTCTCCGTCCTTTTGAAAAGCATGCTCCGAAAATAATCTTTCTTGAACTTAGTTGAGTAGTCAAAGTTGCTATATTCCACAAATGCACTTCCGTAGATCCTCCTAATTCCGGAATGAAAGCTATTAATATTGAAAATAATCTCGATGTTCGCTTGGCAAGCTCTTGGGAACAAGGAGTAATGCAACGCACAAAACCCTTTTTTGCCCGGAAAAACAGAACATATTTGGGTGACAAAACGTGTTCCATGGACTCCATTTCCAAGCTCATAAGTAGCAAAACCAGTATTCTGAAAATTCCCACCAACATCTTCCAGATTGACCTTTAATTCGAGCGAGTCATACTGGCCAAAATTCATGCACGCAACTTTCAATGGTAATACTTTCTGTGTATCTTCTACTTCCACACCATCATTACTGTCACTCTTGAATAAGTAGCGGGTATTACCATCGGAAGAGAATTCAACAGTGCCAACAACTTTCAATGCCACCCTTTTTTTACAGCCGATAAAGATTGAGTACAATTCTACTAATGGTGATGGTTTCAATCCTTGATCATGACACCTGATTGGAAAAAAAATTATAAACCATTAAACACTAAAAGTGGATAAGCTAATATATTGAAAGTGCACAAATGGAAGAATCACAAACCAAAGGTTGCCATTGTTGGATGATGACGATTCCAACTCAAACTGAAGAGAAATGACAAAATGTTAGATAAAGAGTGATATAAAATTCAACACATCAAACTAATGCAATGCTCTCTTAATGTAATTTGTTGCCTTTTAACAATACGTTGGTAGTGTTAGTAGTAGAAAACAAGATGAACATTAACTAAAATGAAATTTTCAGCAACAAAAGCGATCCCATTATGTCATCCCAACTCTGTTGTAATCTAAAGGTCTAGATGTACGTATTCTAAACTTATCAACAGACAGGGGTTGATGTTAGACCCATGATGCATGGCTATATTTATTGCCAAAAAAATCATAAAAAGAAGAAATGGCTATTTTCCATTAGCAGTGGGAAAAGAAATTTGATTCAAAAATCAAATTCATTACATATAATGTTCTTAGGGTTAAATATGTTTTAGTCCTTTTGAAATAAGCGTGTTTTGCAATTGGCCTCTATAAAAATTTTTTTACTTAAATCATCCTTAAAAAAATGTATCTTGCATCCCTAAGTACCTCATACCTAATCCATATCCTAAATTGTATAGTTCTTCATATTAAATTCCCCATTTTTAAATTTCTTTCACCTGTCACGACTCCAAAATTTCTTTCACAATCCACCCCAACCTACGTGGACACAATATAGGGCACAATTAGCGTGTCTGATCTAATTACTAATGCAAGACTAGGATGCTAAGTATGAAATGGTATGTCATTTCAACTCATCAGGAGTTCTAGTTACATTTGAGGACCATTTGCAAAATAAAAACTTCGTAAGGATGAATTTAGTAAAAAATATTTTACGGGGACCAAAAGCATATTTACCTATGTTTTTATTGCACCAATATTTATCTTGAGTGTATAGTGCTTTGTAATTTAGTGGTTTAGGCCATGTTGGAATTCTTTTTGCATAGAGTTCTTACATTCAGCAGAGAAAGAAGGTTCTTGTCGCTGTAACAATCTCTCCACCCAACACCATTCAATGGGTACGGATACAATCCTGCATCTACAGCAATGGCAAAATCATCCACAGCCGCTCCATATTCAGCTGCATACATACAATTCTCGCCCAACAACTCTACTCTACGAGTAAGTTTTTTGTTTGTGTCGAAATCCCTCAAGTCCAGATCGAGTTCAAGTGACGAATATGCTGGCATCCCCAACCATTCTCTCGACATACGAAGTTCATTATTCATCTGTACTGGTTCAAACTCATCTTGCTTCTCAAAAAGGATGCACGGTTCTGAAGAATAGTTTCCACAAGTGTTCTTATAGCGTGCAACAATTTTTCCAGCAATATTAACAACTCTGCCCATGTCTTGGCTAGATGGTCGAACAGACACTTTGCAAAGAACAGCAAATGGCATTGCAATATAAATCAAGGTGGCAGAGCACATTTTAGAATCGAATTCTTTTGATCTTACTTCTTCAAAATCACCTTCAGTTGTATCACCCACCAAAATATTCTCTTTAGCAAACGGAAAAACTTCATCCCCAATTTTGTGATAGAGATCCACTTCTATAGTTGTTTTGTGCAATTTCATCCATAAATCATCATAACTAATGTGAGAATCAGGCCAACAAAGAGTTAAATTGCCACCACATGAGCTAATGTTGTCAGCATTATTGGCACCCCGGTTATAAAGATCAAGCTGCATTTCTTCTCCACTCATGATATTTTCATACCTAACCCGAATCATACCATACACAGCGAGTTGTCGCTTTTTGAGTGCTTTTTTTGGTTGTACATGTAAGGAATGCACATTAAGTAAAGGTCCAGCTACAACATGTTCTCTTCCTTTTAGCCTTTCATTTAATCGTGATTTACTGATATGGCGAAGAGAACGTTCTAACATGCTGAGAAGGTTAGAACCGAAGGAGACATTCATAATATGTGGGCCAGTAGTGAGGACACGTTTCACCACATCTTGTTCTGAGGCACCAGGGCAAGCTTTTAGAAGGTTCATGACAAATTCCTTTGTAACACAGGGGTAATCTTTTAGAATCTCCGTGAAATCCATAATGCAAAGAAAGATTAACTGCAGAATATTAGGTTAAAATACAAAATAAGAGATCTGATAAGACCCAAAAAAGAATGAAGCTTGAAATAAAGTGTGTTACCATCTCAGACAGTCAAAATGGCAAACAAATTGATTGTTGAAACTTAAAATGATTTTTTTTCAATGAAAACATCATCATAGATTAATTTACCATGACATGAAATCAAACATAAAATCCCACGGCTTAGGGCGTGCTTGGTGAGGTGAAAAAATATGGGTTTGGATATCTCAGATATTAAATTTCCAAGATAAGTGTTTGGGGAACGAAAACAAAGGTTTGAGCCCTCAAATCGGGAGATATGGAAACCCTTTGCGTATCCCGTGTCTTGATACCTCCGCTAACGTACTGATAACAAAAATTAAAATCAGCCATATCATAACTGTGTTCTCTCCCAACACTTTCAATCCAGTTTTCAAGACCCATATCTTTTTTTTCATATTATAGAATCCATATACTATCATTTATCTTAAACTCAACAAACGGACCCTTAATCTACCACTATATGAAATCAAACACAAACCCTTTTATCTAATCCAAATCAAACATAAACCTAGTAATAACCTGACCAATTACCTCCCCTGCTGCGGGTGCCAACGAAGATAGGGGAGACCGGGCCACCACCAAATGATTTTTCAACATAGGCCACAAAGGGAAGTTGGGAGCTTATTGTTTTTCAATAAAGTATGTGCGATAAAGAATCAATCATAAACTTTATTTTAAAATCAAAATCGATCATAAAATCCCCATAGAATAATCTAACGCTATATGAAATCAAACATAAAACTTTTTTTTTACTCAAAATCAAACATAAACCTAGTTGTCATTATCTGACCAATAACAATACTAATCCATGGGGTTAGGTTTACCTGGAAATCAACTGTTTTCGGGTGCCAACGGAAATAGCCGCGACGAGCGAATGATTTTGCAATATAGGCTAAGAAGAGAAATTGGGAGCGAACAATTATTCAACACAGAGTCTCTATATGCGATGAAGAGTAAAGATGAAAGGGCTAGGGCTGTTGCTCAATGTCTTTTCTGCAGTTCCTTTCTCCCCTATAAGTTATTTGAACCAGACAGGAACTACAGTCTACGGAGAGCATTTCGAGTTCAATTGTGTACCCGGATTTGTATATACCCACTCAAATCCGGCGCACCAGCCGAGTCAACCGGCCAGACTAGCGGGTTTGGTTGGAGTTTTTTATTTGAACACTAAAGCCTAACACACAACCCTCCAAGGCTATAACTACTTAGGCTCCTTTCCGTTTAACTTATTTTTCTGATCTGATCTGATTTTTTGTAATTCTGATATGATCTTATCTAGTTGGATCTAATTTGATCTGGTCATATTTGATTGGATCTGATCTGATATGATTAAATCCGATCTGATCTGATTAATTATGATATCATTTAAAATTCAAATCAATAATTTGATTTGACTTTGTAATAACTTTTGAAAATTGTGATGATAATTGATATTATAATATAATCACGTACCTAGTGAGTTCCCTCGTAGGTGACCTCTAGTTTGTCCCACATTTCCTTAGTGGTTAATCAAGTACCTAGTAATAACTTTGTTGTTTTCCTTTAATAACAAGGCAATTCTTGACCCAACATATTTAACCAACTCTATATTGTTAGTTTTTTTCTTTTTCAGTTTAGTTTTTTTAATGATGACACTAGGCCACCAATTTCACACCTTACTTAATGCTACCATATACCCTTTTCTCGCATGGATTAAATAAATTTAATTTCAAGCTTACCTGAAATAAATCTTGAAGTTACTATAGTTTTTTTAGAGTCACTTACCACTTAGATTATTTCATCACCAATTTAAAAGAGCGTAATTGAAACCCCTTTGTAATCTTTTTTTTCGAGCAACCATTGTTAAGTTGATTCATATACACAATTTGTTTTTGTATTGATGAATAAGTTGTTGGAAAATTGGTCTCTTTGAGAGTAAAATAATTGTCAAAACTTTTAAATTCTTAAAAGTAGCCTTCAAAACCTAATTTCTTCAAACATAATCTAACGTCGGTCCACTTCAATTATTTCTTATATATATTTTTCTAAAGATAACTCATTAGATAATGAACTCTCACACAGTCTAATTATATGATAATCCTTTTTTAGTATATGGTAATTACCTGCAAAACTGTCTAATTCAAAAATTCTTTCTTGTGAACAACTGCTCAATGTGATATTTATTATTAGTTGCGTAAGTTCATTGAGTGGCTTATTATTTATAAGATTTTTTTCATTTGCTTCAAATTATGTGTATTCACCAAAAATACTTTGGTTTAGAGTCAACCCTAATGGTTCAACCCATAATATTTATTTTCATTTTCTTCGTTCAACAATTATTTGTTGGGAACATTTCATTCTAGACATCAGAATTTACATATACTTTACAAGGTGGTGGTAGTTATAAATCTTCAACTGTGAGGTATTTTTCGATATATAAAATTTAACAAAGTACTACACAGTTGGTTATTCTCTTCTAGAGTATTTACGTTCTTTGATTCATCCCATAATATTGAGCCACCTTGTATTTCAATATTAAGAATTAATAAGTCTTTGGTGGTGTGATGCCACAGTTTTGAGAAAGCTAATTATCGTTTGAGAGTCTCAGCACAACAAATTTGGTCCGAAATTAATCAAATCAACTTCAAAGATAATCGTGAGTTATCCATTTCCCTAAGGTTGGCACTTGACAGCTAAGTTCATATCTACATTCCGAGTTACCCATCCAAACCTGTGTTTCTACCTGCGTGCAGTCAAACAACGAGGACTACACGCTCAGCGAAACGCTGAGTGAAAATATACCTAAGCCAACATTAACTCACAGAATAGCACCACGTTAACATATAATTAAACAACAACATGTGGTCACAGAGAAAAACATCTTAAATAAACATATTTATATTAGCGCCTTTAATTTGAACATCCTGTCATTATTTTATTTCATATCAACTAACTTTGAGTCATGGCACCTCAAGCGATGCTATAAAAGGGCCAACTCAGAAACCCAAAGGGGATTCACAGGAGATTCACTTTGGACGGGTTGAAGCCCTTGTCCCTACGATGTCAGGACAGGTCGCGGACTTCCGTACGTATGTTTTTAACCCAAGACCACCAGGGGTGCGACGACGCCCCGCAATGGCCAATTTCCTAACCATATCCTATTGGTGATTCAATTAGTCAATCCAATTCAGGTCCACCTAATTATACTAGGTGGCCTATTTCTCATATATTATTCATAATCCACAATATTCACCAATAAGATTAATTAAATTTAAAATGGGTTCACAAATTCACAACAAATAACGTAGCGGCCTACCCAGGCCGAAGACCCACAATTACCATCATGCATAATCAAACAACCCAAATTACAATTAACCAACTTACCTGCGCGGAATCGAGACCAAGGAATCGATCCTCGAGCCCGCTTCCCCCGCCGGAGCAGTCCCCATCGTTGCCGGAACAACCCCCGGCACCCCCACCGGTAGCCGTCCCGGCTGCCCGAACCCAAAGCCAGACCAAACAGCCCCGTTGGGTGGTTCACAGCAACCCGAACAGTACATCAATTAACCCAAAAAAGTCCAATCATATCCAATTGTACCCAACTGAATCCAAATGACCCAATTGAACCTGATTGAACCCGTTTGGACCCAATTGGTGTCAATTGAACCCTATTGGTCCAAATAGAGCCGCTGCCCGGTCCGGTCAACTCGCCGCCGACGTTTCCGGCGGGTCGCCGGAGGTGGGGACGGAAAATTGCCCCAAACATCAATTTCACATATTCAAACACAAACAACCCAATTCTCAATCAAATCGCAAGATTATACATTATAGAAGTTCTAATCTAAAAATTAACGCTAACGATAGGTATAGGAACCACGACTCACATCGAAAAAGGACGAATTCAACGTGAATCGGAGGAAACTCGCCGCTGCAACTTCTTCGCTGGTTTCGCCGGCCTGCTGCGCGCGGCGGAGGGATGGGACGAGGACGGCGGTTGGGATTGCTGGAGTCGGCGGCGAGACACGGCAGCGCTGCTGATCGGCGGAGACGAGCGAACGGTTGGAGACGAACGACTTCCCCGGTTTGTAACTCCCTAGTTTCCTTAAATATATACGGAGTAATACCTCCTCTCCAAAATATTACAATACACTTCTTTAATCCATTTTATCTTGTAATTTGTATATTAAAAAATTATATATATTATATATTAATAATCTATATGTTAAGACAAATCAAACAAGATCACACATGACTATATTTAGGCCTACACATTGAGAGAATTTGATAAGTCAAAGTGTTTAGATGAACAGTTCCAAAAGTCAAAACTGAACGAATATTCTGGGACGGAAGAATAATTAATATGTTTAGGGTCTAAATTACATTTTTCATCCAATTTGGATAAGTTTCATCATAATTACCTGGTCCGTCAATCATATCTTGAGCCATGTAGATCCAATTCAAGATCTGTTTGCGTGATCATGTTCAGAACAACAAGCTCTACAACGTAGGATAAATACTCATTGAGATTAAGGCAAATTAGAAAATAATCTTCGTATTTATTGGCCCTATAATTAATTAATTTTATACAGAGTAAGCTAATTAAAATACTAAATCGGGTTTTGAGGCATTACATTTCTCACCACCTTAAAAGAATTTCGTCCTCGAAATTAACCGAATCATTCTCTGAAAAATGAGAATAAGTAACTCTCATAGAGTCCTCAGTCTCCCAAGTAGCTTCTGCATGGCTACGCCACAAGACCTTGACTAAGGCCTCGTTCCGTTCAACTTATTTTTCTTATTTTTTCTTATTCTTATTAAAATCAAATCAGATCAGACCAGATCAGATCGAATCAGATCAGATCAGATCCAATCAGATCCGATCAGATCAGATCAGGACTTATTAAAATCAGATCTCATCAAGATATTATTATTATTATTATTACACTTATTATTATTATTATTATTCTTATTCTTATTATTATTATTATTATTATTATTATTCTTAAAAATGAAAAAGAATAAACTTTAGAAATAGGTTAAATAGAAAACCGAGAAAGTAATCCTTAATTATTAGACGTCAGAAAAATTAGTTTTAAAATACATTGACAATGTCAATCTAATTCTACTTTTAAAATATATTTTTATTGCTACTTGTAATTTGAGATTCTAAACTTTTGATCTTTTATAAGGATGAGATATTTTAATAAAAAAACTATCTTTTCTATATATTGATTATCTAAATTTAATTACTTTTTAATGTATATCTAAAATAAATATTTATTTTAATGTATAATTGTAATTTTACAAAAAAATAATCATAAAATAAAAAATATTATTACATTATAATATGAATGATTATTCTAATATATGAATTAATTATTTTTATTTTATTAAAAAATAATCTTTAAATAAAAAATATTAATTATATTATAATATAAATTATCATTACAATTTTCAAACGTTATTATAAAGTCAAATTAAATTATTGATATGAAATTTTAAATTAAATCATAATTAATCAGATCAGATCAGATTCAATCAGATCAGATTAGATCAGATCAGACTAGATCAGAACTTATTAGAGTCAGATCAGATCAGAAAAAATAAGTTAAACGAAACGGAGGCTAGAGACACCCTTTTGTTTCTCAACTTCTTCATAGTCACAAATGAGTACTTGCAAAGTTGCAATGGTGGGAGCAAATACTGTGCTGAAGGGGAGAAGCACCTTCCTTCTTTTCTCCTCTCGCCCTCTCCTCTCTCCCATTTTCAACCATTTACCCTACAGTATCACCATCAAGAACGCTAGTCCCTGCCGCCGGCAGCAGTCGCTATCCCATCCGTCCACTTCTCTCCAATACAGTGAATTGAGTCGCCGGAAAATGGCCGCTCCGCTCCCTTTATACGGACGAGGAGGCGGAGGATTGCTCTCACAGTTTTCCTGCAGCGCCACCTCCGACTCTTCTTCCGCCAAAGACGACGGTAATCTTGATCCTGATAACCCTGCGGGCGATTCCGGTTCCGGAGATTCGTTTTCACGTAATCAGGTTACGGCGGAGCTCAAGGACGCGGCGAACACACTGGACATTAGGGTTGGGAAAATCCTCAGGGCCTGGAAACACGGGGAGGCAGATTCCCTTTATGTAGAAGAGGTCGATGTGGGAGAGCCCAAACCTAGAACTATCTGCAGTGGCCTTGTTGACTATATCCCGCTCCAACACCTTCAGGTCTTTGCTTCTTCATTCCTATAACTTGTGATTTTTTTTGGATGTCATTATCTGAAATTCCCAGATTTTCATTTTTCTTACAGTTCCTCAACTCGAGACTTTGATGAGGATCTTCTTAATTGGTGTGAATGTAAGTAAAATGTTGAAACTGGTTGAGTAAAAAGTGTGAGAACATGTGAACCAAGCTGTATGAGATAAAGGATTGTGTGGGTGGAGATTATCTAATTCAGTTATGAGTAGAACCCAAGCCTCAGAACCCCCAAGAGGTTCTCCAAAACTAGGTTTCAGGTAACATTGGTGTTTCCGAGGGTCTCAGGAAATTTTGTTGGAGCTTCCGAAGCTGTTGAAAAATTGAATTTAGTTTGCTGAGGTAGTGAGGTTCTTGTAATCAGAATACCTCCAAAAGTGTACCCTAAATTAAACACTGAGGAACATAGTTTCACCCTCATCACCATCAGCTTTTCTTTTTGAGCATCTTTTCACTTTTTTAGTTCTTGGTTTAAATTTAAGATTCGTTGCGGTTCTTATCTAATTTGGGTTATAATGTATGGACTAAATCATGCAGGACAAGTACGTGATTGTCCTTGCTAATTTGAAGCCAAGAAATATGCGTGGTGTTAAGTCTTCTGGGATGCTTATGGCAGCTTCTTGTGCGCTGCATCATAATGTCGAGCTTCTCATGCCACCCGAGGGTTCCGTTCCTGGTGAAAGGGTATGGTTTGGTTCAGATGATGAAAAGGACTCCTTACCCGAGGCTGCAACACCCAATCAGGTACTTTCTTAATGTAGAATTTAGATCTTTGGATGCACTTGGTAAGAAAGGGTTTTGTGAAATCAGTCAGCCGTTCCATTGTGGCCTTTTCTCTCGAGTAGGGTCCACTTCCTATCCTGCAACAATTTCAAGTTATTTCCACATGCTAAGAGTTCATTCTCAAAAGGATCATCTCACACCCCAACCTCATTCAATAGTTTCATATGCAGTTCTCACTTTTCTGAGATACACACAAAAACTTTCCTCAATAACAGTTGTATTATTGTCACTATAAATCTTCATATATACTAACTAGTACAACCCTATGAATCCAAAGTGTAGACTGTAGACTATCAAAGTCATTGCTAAATTTGTTTGACCTTTTCCTAACATTGTTGGCATTTAAATTTCTTGAACCTTTAAATGAGAGTAGACTTAAAAGAAATGCCCGTAGATAGAAGTAAAATGCCATCAAAATTCAAAATATTAAAATATGAGTGATATTTTTTTATCCCCTAGCGACTAAAGGCCGGGAATAAAAAGGGGGTTTTTGGATTGGGTCCAAATATATTGGACAGGAAAACCTTCGGCCAAAAAAAATGGTGCACAAATGGCAATGGCGAAGAAATGGCGTTGCTATGGGAATATTGGTTGCCACAGTCGGATATCTGGCGATTGTGGGCCAAATCTCCAATGGCGCATTTATGGACTATTGACCAGAAAATTAGTAAGTGACCTACCCTTCCATCTGACCCTTTATCAGACGTCAAAGTACAGGTTCTTTTTTCTCATTCAGTCTTGTATACAACCAAACATGCTTGACCACTATCAGCCGCCTTTTAAAAAACAAGTTGCCCTGACGGGCGTCACCTCATGATAACTGATAAATATGAAGCTTTAGATCGCCATACTCAGCAACGAATTTTAACAAAGGCAACATACAGAATTTATTACGGAACGTAGTTCAACTCTCCTGAGAAAAGATAGCTAAAGCTAATACTCTCTCCGTCTCAATTTTGATTACAATTTTTTTTCTCTCCAATCGATAACTTTTGTTTATTTGTGTATTTTTATTGATTATTTGATAAAATAAAATATTCTTGTCACCTCTTGTTTTGTAGAACTTTTAACATAGTTTTTTAATAGGTAATTAGATTTTTTATCGATATACCAATTTGTTATTAAAATGATTTCAAAAGATGAGAGATTTTGCCTCGTAAATCCCAATTTGTAATCAAATTTTGGACGGATGGAGTACTAATGATTATAGGAAACTACAGAGTCGATTCCCAAGACTTGGGTTGCATCCAACTTCTTTGACCGAGGCTGGCACATGATCCTTGCGATGTATGTTTCTTATTGTACTGCTGCAAAATGAAAGTACACATGACACTGATCTCAGAAACCTTGCTCCTGCTTCTTGCAACAACAACAACAGATCCAGTAAAAATCCAATACCTTACCCCTACCCGTAAAGTAGAGAGCCTTTTGCGAGACACGCTTGGCTCAGGATATTGTAGCACAACAGCAAACCCTCTTGCAAAATATGGTATTTTAGGAAATCTGATTTGTCTCTCACTCTCTTATGAGTTACGAGATCTGTTTTCTTGCCAATATCCTTCCTCAAATTGGTGATGACAATCCTAATAACCATTAGTTTCGAACCCATATCTACCTTCCCAATATAAATCAAAATGAAATATACGGAGCATCATTTTTTGAATTCATGTATATTTTTGGTGATCAGAAATTCTTTATCAAAAAATAAATGAAGTAAAGATTAAGAGAATCCTTCTGCAGGATGACAGCATATGAATATTATGAATGAGGACATGACGTGTTTCTTCTCTGTATAAACAGGTCGGGTAGGCGGGTACATGCCCCAATATATATGGATGACGTGAGGTCCATTACATGTCTAACACTAAACTAAAACAAGCTACAGCCAAACTCTACCAACCTTTTCTTGTTCATACACGCTAGTTCCTTGTCTGCACACCTTTCGTATTGCTGCTAATGGGGTGTCTGTGATTATTGTGAAAAATGGAAAGAAATGATAGTTTCATTTAATTACCATGAGTTAAGAAACTGTAGTTGGCATGACATCGAAAATATAGTTGATGCGCCAACAAATCAGCCCGTTGCTAGCAACTTGTGTCGCCTGTGTGAGAAAGCTGTTGTTTAAGTTAAGCTTTTTATTCAGCTGTTAAATAGAACAAAGTTAGTGTTATTGCTCATTCCTTTGCAGGTTCAGAAGAAAAAGGTATGGGAGTTAGTGCAGCCACATCTCAGAACCAATGATTCTTTTGTTGTTATGTTGGGCCCGCATTGTATGCGAGCACCAAAGGGCGTTGTGGTCAGCAGCTCTTTAGCTAATGCAAACGTGTCGTAAATCGTAATCAATCAAAGTGTAGGCTTGTTGACATAGTGAAGAAATGGGAAGATTTCAAGCATTACTGCTTGTAAGTTTTCTTGGCTCTCAATCCCCTCATGGATCGGAACACATTCTTGTTAGGATACGGGTGGCCTGCAGCATATTCAGAATGACGTTTTTTTGGGTGATTAGACTTGATGAAGACATGTTAATTAACACGTACGAATTGTTTTTGACGTTGATTTGAGTTTTAATGTCGAGATAAGATTGACATCTCTTCGAATAATGGGAGGACTTGTCATGTCATGTAGGTAAGCTTAGTCCTCTGGCTGAACCAAGAGCTATTCTAAAGTCTCATGTTCCAATCAAGATTAATGCCTCTTCTCCATCTCATAATCTAGTCAATGAATCTTATTAGTTATTATTGCTTGTCTTTAACCACTGATAATGACTAATGAGGGGTAACTGAGCATGAGAACTCTTCTTCCAACTTTTATTGTGTGATAATCTGCAACACTTTTGGAGGTACTTGTAAAAAGGATGAAAAAGGTTTTTCCAAAGTTGATTGGGCACAAAAGTTAAGAAAATGAAAGAATATGATTATGGTCAATTTTTTTGAATGCTATTGACTCTATTAAAAGGTAGTATCTCTTGATATCATTCTCAACCTAATGACGCACAAAGAGCTAATGCCTCCGTCTCTGTTGGGGCTCGAATCTGGGTGAACTTTCTCATGAATCCTGAGAAAATATTTGAAAACTTAAAAATACTCCTGCCTATGCTAAGAGCAACTCCAATGGTGGAGGTATTTTAGAGAGGTATATATCTCATTTATTTCTCTAAAACATCATATCTACCCTCCAAAAAATGTGCAAATCCAATGGAAGGTAAATTTTTGTCCTCATCCTCAATGACCCTCTTTGTTTTTTCATCATCACTCCGTCTTCAATCCCAAAATGTGGTATCCCCTCTTCCACACCAAAAAGCACCCCCTTTGTTCAACACAAAAAGAAGAAGCGCTACTCTTGATTTCTTGGTATCCTCTTCCTAAGGCATTTCCTTCCGTGCCTCTTCCAAAGTGGGGGTTTTAAAAGCCTCCTCATGTGGCACAATAAAAATAGACATGTGGACATACTATTCCACATTTTTAAAGAACTTAAATTATTCTTGTGTAGAAGTTTTACCAATGATACCATGATAGAATTTAGGATGGAGTCTAGATAACTGGATTAAGCAATAAGACACTTGGGTTGAGTCACATTAAAAAATTGAATCCAATCGATTAATTAATTCAACTCAAGAGCTTATATACCGATTATTTTGCTCTTGAACTTCCGTTGTGGGATAATACTCTAACAGTTATTTCAATATTGACCCCAATCGAAAATTAATTAATTTTTACACCATGAATTATTATTTTGTTAACAGCGGGTTAACTAAACGGTCTATTTTGTGTAACAAAATAAAAGTTAGAATTATTTTTAATGAATTTTTGTTTTTTATTTATTTAAATATTTATTTAAGTTTTTAAAAAAACTTTCTATATAAATTTATTTTTCCTTTAAAAAAATATTATTCTTACCTTATAATAAATAAAAATAAGTATAATATATCAAAAATAAGTATAATATACAAATTTGGACTACTAATTATGAAAACTTTTTAGTTTTGAAATATCAAATTTTTCTCACATCTACTAATATACTTATGTTTATAAATGAAAAGATAAAAGATAAATTCAAATAGTGTTATGTTCCATTTGAATATAATTTGGTAAAAATTGGGTGAAATTAAGTGAATTTTATTCAATGGAGTGCAAAAATTATAAATTATTGAGTGTATTTGATTGAAAATAGATAAAATTAAATTTAATAGAGTCAAATATAATTAATTTTACACCTAAATGTAATGGTGGAGATCAAATTTGAAAATGATAACACTAAATGCTGCCACTAGAGAATTTTTCAAAATGCTAACACTAGCATCTAACTTTATTGACTAATATTGAGTGAATTGGTTTGAAACTAGTCAAATTAACTCTCAAATCAATAAAATTTATTGTAATGGGATGAAATTAGGATAAAATCTAGTTATTCCATACAATTCATCATATAATCCTTTCGTCCCAAAAAGAATATCACACTTCATTATTTAAAAATTACGAAAATTTTGTTTATTTGTGCGTTATCATTTATATGTATAACATATCTTTAATTTCTACATATAATAAATTTAAGGCATGAAATTTTGTACTTTTTTTCAAGAAAATAATTCATTTTATGAGGGAATGAGCAAATAATGTAATTAGTTCAAATGGTAAAATAAAAGTAAAAATTTAAAAATATAATATGCTTATTGAAAGGCAAACATAGTTCCAAATTTATCGATTTTAGTTCTAATCGGATTCGGATATTATCAGTTTCGGATCTAATTGGTTTCAGGTATTATCGGGTTTGGGTATTATCGGTTTCGGATTTAATCGGTTTTGGGTTTAATCGGTTCGGATATTATCGGTTTCGGATCTAATCGGTTTCGGATTTAAATCGCATGTGAATAATTTAGTTCGGTTTCAGTTATATTCGGATCATTTCGGGTTTTCGGTTATAGATCGGATCTTCATTTTTCGGATCATTTCAGTTTCAGTTTCGGATATTTCGATTCGGGTAATCGGTTCCGGTTCTGTTTTGCCAGGTTTACTCTCCACTCTCCAGTGAAGTATAGTTTTTACGGAAAAGGTAAAAATGGTAGTTATGAGCTTTTATCCTCTCTGATGCCCTTCTTGTTGGAGTTGCTCTAAGAAACTTTTACATTTCTCGCAAAATACATACTACGCAAAAACACATCACACGTTTGCACTAAAAAAATATGTAACACTTGTGATTTTTCTATTTTAAAATAAATTTTAACCACACATTTCTTTTTTACGTTTTATGAGAGTATTATACCAATTCAATTAAAACACGTACAATGTTCCAATTATAAAATTAATTGTTTCTAACCTCCATAAACCCCTTAGTCCGACCAATCATAAACACAATTCTACATCCCCTCCAATTTTACCACTTGAGTTTTGGTAAAATTTTAACTCCAAATCCAACAAAAAAGTTTGTCATTCAATTACAGGGGATACATGGTCCATTAGGGAGGTGTCAGATTGACTTGTTTATTGAGAAATTAAGGAATACGAACATTGTTTTTATAATACTCCAATTGAATTGGTGTGATAATCTTAAATCAATAATATTAGTGTGATTTCCTTCTCGCTTTTAGAAAGTACTTCCTCCGTCCCAATTTATAGTGCTTGTTTCAATTTATGATATTTGACTGAAATTATTTTCAAATCATTTTATATGACAAGTGATATAGAGTTAAAAAATAAAAATTACTTATTAAAATACCATATCAAAAGATCTACAAAACTAGTAGTGAAATAATACTTTATTTTATCAAATTGCTAATAAAAATAAAGAAAGAAAATAAATGAAGTTTGACTCCGTGAATAGTGAACAGACACTATAAATTGAGACGGAGGAAATATTTATTTTGTATGATAAAAAGTTTCACAATTTAACTTGTACTTTGACCACAAATTATAAAAAAAACTATTTTTTATAACGTAAAATTTGTGGCTAAAATGTGATAGTGTTTGACGAAAAAAGTCAGAATGTAAGATTTTTTAGACGAAGAGAATATATATTTTTAAAAAAATGACAAAAGACTACAACATCTTTTTATTTATAAATTACATCCCAGTAGGTCTAGTACTAATCATCCTTTTTTTAATATAGAAATTCGGCAAGGACTCGAGTGTCAACAGATCGCACTTGCTAATTTAAAGCTCTTCCGGTGCTCCATTTAAAAAATTGAGAGTTCCTATCTCCCGTAGCCCCATCCCTAAATCCCTTACCTAGCCAACTCCTGCGCACCCACCCTAGATTTGATGGGGGTAAAAGAGGGATCTAGGGTGGGGCGTAGGGGTCGAGCTGAGGTGGGGTGCGGTGGGGTTTAAAGAAGGTGTTAGGGGTCTTAAGAAACATCAATTTATAAACAGAGCACCGAAAGAACTCTAAAGGCCTGTTGGGCAACTTCTGAATAGGTAAGTGCTGAACCATTAAGTGCTGAACCAGTAAGAGGTCTGAACCATTAAGAGCTAGTATATTGCTTAACTATTCAGAGGCAAATGTCTGATCAATTCAGATAAGAGGTCTTAACCATTCAGACTCTGTATAATAGTTAACCATTCAGAGGCAAATGTCTGAGCCATTCAGACATCTAAACCATTAAGAGGTTGAAACAAACAGTCTGAATCATTAAATGTTGAACCATTCAGACATTTGAGCCATTAATAGGCTGAAACAAACCATCCCTAGGTGAGCAAGTATCATGCCTTGAAACTAAAATCTAGTGTCAACCGAAGGGAGAAATTACAAAGTTCAAAAAGAAACGGAGAAGGCCAATTGTTATGATGTGTAGGTGTGTGGTGGTGATTGCCCGTCCACCAATCCACACTCAACATTTATCTCATCTCCTATTTCATTATCCAAATCTAATTTGTACCCCGGCGGTGATCAATGGCTCATTTCATATCCCCCCCTATATATAATCCTATCTCGAGTAAGAAAGAAAGAAAGGACCTCTTCTAGTTCCGCTGCCTCAAAGAAAATGGCGACCACTTCATCCTCCATTAATGGACCTCTTAACATCTCCATGGTACGCTCTTCTTGCCCCTCTAAATTAACCGTCTGACTGAATTCCTCAAATGCTCCGATTTTTAGTTTATATTTTTAAGTCTTTTTAAATACTGTGTTTTATTATTTAAAGATTTTTACAACTTTAATGCTCGTATGAATTACACTCTTCATCTCAATTTTTTTTAATAAAACGTGGGAGTGTGTCACGACAATTTAAAACAAAAGAATGTGTGATTCATATCAAATTTAAAAGTCTGAACAAATGTGAATTGCACAAATATAACTGAAATGCTGAAATGGATTTTAAAAAAATTGGAAAAACACTTTTCCCATTTATGATATTTGAAAAATGTTTTGAAACACGGAGTAATTTGAAAGCTTTTTGGGGTTGGTGTGGGGTGGCGAGTGGTGGGGGACAGT